TTTGCCATTTTAATTATTATATGTAGGTGTTGTTTCCTTTTTCAGAGATCTGTGGACTTCCATGGCCTGAGAGACTATTTCCTTCCCCAGACTGGGGAAGTTTTTAGCAATTATTTCTTCAAAGACAGTTTCTATCCCTTTTTCTCTCTTCTTCTTCTTCTTCTTCTTCTTCTTCTTGTACTCCTATAATGTGAATATTGCTCCGTTTGGATTGGTCACACAGTTCTCTTAATATTCTTTCATTCCTAGAGATCCTCTTTTCTCTCTGTGTCTCAGCTTCTCTGTATTCCTGTTCTCTGATTTCTATTCCATTAAGAGTCTCCCCCACCTCATCTAATCTGCTTTTAAATCCCTCCATTGTTTGTTTCATTTCTTTTATCTCCCTCCTGAATTCATCCCTTAGCTCTTGAATATTTTTCTGTAGCTCCATCAGCATGCTTATGACTTTTATTTTGAATTCTTTTTCAGGAAGATTGATGATTTCAGTCTCACTGAGCCCTCTTTCTGGTGTTTGAGGGATTTTGGATTGACCAAGGTTCTTCTGCCTTTTCATTGTCCTGGAGCAATGAGAGTGGTTGCTGGCAGCACGTGTATCAGCTGGGAGGACAGAGGCCCTTCCTGCTTGCTGGTCGCTGTGTCTCTCTCCACTGTCTGTGCCAGTTAACCACACACAGGGAGCAGCCTCTGGGTCAATCCCCTAAACTGCCATGCACGGGTCTAGCCCTTGGGATGGCCTAGGGCATTGGCAGAGGTTGCAGGCCAGTGGCATGTGTTCTGCCATGAGAAAAAAAGGCCTTTTGTGCTTCCCAGTCTCTGCGCCCATCTCTGCTGTCTGTGCCAGTCAACCACGCCTAGGGAGCAGCCCCTGGGTTAAGCTGTGTAGTTGCTTTAGGCAGGGTTCCCTCCGGCTGGTGTGCAGCAATGGTGCAGACAGCTGGTTTGCGTGCATGTGCTGGCGTGGAGGAAGGAACGGCAGGCTGCTCATCATGGTGAGGGTCCTCAGGACTGCATTGCCAACCAGGGGGATAGGGTGCCTGAAGTTCCTTAAAAGTTCCCAGCCTGCTGGGCTGAGTGTGCCAGGACGGTTTTGTCCACCTGTTAAACTCTTGACTCTTCAAGACTTTTAAAGTGCCTGCTTTTCTTTTGTACCAGGGCAGCTGTTTGTGGGACCCTGTTCGCAGTCTTAGTCTCAGACTTTGCTTTCAGCTCCTCTAATATCCAGAGCACCATGCATTGTGGGTCTGTGCTCTCGGCACAGATATCTAGGACTGGTTACTTGGTAGCCCTGTGCTTCCACTCCCTCTCCGCTCTGATTCTTTTCCCCCTGCCGGTGAGCTGGGGTCGGGGGAGTGCTTGGTTCCCACCAGGTCAGGCTTTATACTTTACCCTTTTCTGTGAAATGTTGACTTCTCCCAGATGTAGACTGGCTGGTGTACTCTTACTTCTGGTCACTCTTTTAGGAATAGTTGTATTTGCTGTATTTTCAAAATATATGTGGTTTTGGGAGATTTCCACTACACCACTCACACTGCCATCTTTTCCTCCTCTCACTCTGTGTAAGTTTTACCTTTAAAAGAAGGAACAGATATTGAACTAAGTTATGTGCATGCTTATGTATTTTGGGATGAAGGGTACTGATATCTGCAGGTCACTTTGAAATGTATAACAAAGATAATATGGTTTGGTGGATGGACAGACAATAAAGCAAATATAGCAGAATACTAATAATTATATAATCTAGGTAGTTGATGTTTACTGTCCAAGTCTTTCACCTTTTTCTGTATTTGAAATTTTTCATAAGAAAGTACTAGAAAAAAATGAACAAGGTAAAATAAAGATTCAAGAGAAAGTAATGTATCTTGAAAATAGGCAAAGAAGAGCCATCATATGAATAATAAACAACACATACGGAAAACTACAATTCAGGTAAATGAAATTGAGGAGTTGAAACTGTATATTGAAAGAACACTGCATACCTGAGAATATCAGTGCAAAGTGACCAACACCACCAAATTATTGGACTTAAAAAAAAGCAATCCATTGGGCTTCCAAAGCAAAAAGAGCAAATGACTCATAAGGGAGACAAATTAGGTTATAGACATTTTCACAGCAATGTTTTATGCTGGAAGAAAAGGAAGTAATATATTTCATATATACTCAGGAAAAGGAAATGTGAGCAAAGGATTTTATAGCCAGCAAAATTGACTTTAGACCAGAGAAGCTATTATTACCATGCAAGGATTTAAGAACTATTGTTCCCATGAGCCCTTCTCAGGGAGTCTATTTGAGAATGAACTACAGATAACCAAAATCACAAGAGCAATGTGTACAAAAGAACTGACAGTGAGCACCACTTATAAAACTAAGACCAAATGAGGGCTAGAATATAGCATATAATGGCTGTCTACTCTGACAACGTACATAAAGGACAATTACACAAAATGGAAGAGAAGGTGAATATAGACAAATACTTTTAGTGGCTTTTATTAGTTAATATTAGTAAATGGTAATATTAGTGTTGTCATTCTGAGACTGTTGCATATGTGGTATAGAGCATATTAATAATTATGGGATACCTGGGAGTAATCATGGCATAATTTTAATTATGTGCATAAGGATATTCTAATTGTGTAAACTGAGCCTGGAACTTCTCTTCAGACTATCAAGGAAGCTATTACAGACTAGGTTCACCTCAGGAGGGCTCAGCAGTCCACTTGCAGAGTTTTTCAGGTTTCAGTAAGAATAGTAACTGCTGTGGTTTGAAGCTCACCAAATATGTTTAATTCTGTGAGCTCATAACACCTTAAAAACGAATTGGTCATTATGGAGGATGATAGAGAACCAATTCATTTTCTTAAAAAACGGTAAATAGAAAGCCAGTCACTTACCCTGGCTTTCCTAAATGAACCAGAAGGACTGGGTAATCGAATAGCAGATTAAGGGGATCATGTCTCTGTAAAATGTTCTAACTAAACAACAACAAAGAATTGATGGAAGTAGTTTGTCACTATGTTAAAACCCTTAATAAAATAGTTGATCTAAGGTATTGACCTAAAATAACTCCTAATAACACCAAAAAAGAGACAACCAGATATTAATGCCACTTTTAGAACACAGCATCACTTACAGTCTTGTCAAAGGGACAGAGCATGAGTCTGATCAAGTCTCTGGATCCAGCTACTAATTTGCAGGAAGTAAAGTGCTTGCACTGTGAGTCTATCTTCTGTAAAATCCTCTCGGCGAGCAAATGAAGTCAAGTAATAGGATGTGTACATTTATTTGATGGCATAAATATAAACTCTTAAGGAAAAGATAATATAACTGTAATTGGGTTGGAGATGGAAGAGAGGTAAGGAGAGTGGGAGTAGAGATACACAATTACTTTCCTTGCTTATGGTTGGGAGTTTGTAAAGCACAAAGCATAAGAAAATGTATCTGACAGATCCAGCAGTGGACTAAAGAAACTTACTAAAAGAAACTGATTCTCATGTAGGATCACAAAGCAAAACTCTCTATTTTGTGTGCTGGCACAGAATTATCTCTATATTAACTAAAAGCAAAATGTATACAGTGGATGTAATCTATTATGTTGAAGAATGATGCACATCCAAGTTCTGACAATTTCTGTAAAGTTGCACAAGAAACTGGTAATAATGGTTACCTCCAGGGAGGTGATCTGAGCTACTGAGGGATCAGAGTGGGTGGAGACTTAGTTTTTGCTGTATACTTTTTTGAAACCTCTGAAAATCACTTACTTACTCAAAAAATTAACAACTTACATTTTAACAAGATCCTTCCTGACCTAGTCTGTGTTCACCTGAATTGCAAATTCATAGTACTAGGCATTTACAGAGACGGTGAAGAAACCTTTAAAGAGACTAATGGACATAAAAGGAAAAGAAGCCATAATAAATAATGTATAAAGAAATAAGTAGAGCTACCAATTCTGATTCAGTACCACCCTTCCCCTGTCCTCTACCAATCTTTCTCTCTTGGGATATTCTGATCAGCTATAGATGTGATACTAATGATCCTTTAAAACCATGACTTGACTGGTGCCGGGCCGCCATTTTTCAGGTGTCCTGGGAGAAGTCATAAGAATTGGGTTGGGCCTCAGAGCATCATACCAACAACACGGTGTGCACTGCAGGGGTCCCACCCTTTCTCAGTTCTCAGTCCTTTTTGAGTATCTGCCTTCTGTGCTCCTGTGCATCTCTTCCAAGGTGATAAAGTCAGAGCAAGGATTTCTTTACTAACACCTAGTTAGAGAAACAGCAAGAATTACTACCTCAACTACTGTCCATTGGTTAGGGAGACAAAAGTTTAAGAATTTGAACATGTTAATGGGAGGTCTTATGAACAAGGGCAAACTTACCAATTCACCGTGCAGTTTAAAGCAAACATGTTTTAGTATCTATTCTATATACTCTGCTATTTATATTTGGTGTAATTTTTCTTCTTTTCCAAGGCAAGAAAAATCAAATAATATGCTGTAGGAAATACACTGACATCTGCTTATTTATCCCATTGTAGTGTGAAATAATAGTTAAAGAAATATATTAGTATTACTTTATTGCATGTTGAAAGTGGTGAATACTGTCTTTCTCTGAAAACTCAGAAGTATCAACAGTTTTATCATTATTTCTATATTTTGTGCATTCCCTTTTTTTCTTTTTATGACTTTTGCTTTATAATCAGACATCGTTAAAAATGAGAGGTAAAATGTTCCTTAATTGTCACTCAATTTACCATGTCCTCTAGAAGGAACTTGAGGTTGGCCTAGAACTTTTATGGTGAGGGATTATAGGTTTCTTAGTTTGTATTATAATTGTATGCAAGCAGGCCTTTACTATAATAACCTGAGTTTCTTGACCCAATTACAAATTAAGTTTGGCTAAGTCCAAATTAAAAAACCATCCAAAGGCATCTATCTACATTATAGTCCCGTTATCTAACATGGTTTTGTGTTATCTCTGTTTTTGTGTGTGTATGTGTGACAGGTTATTTTTAAAGAGCAACTTTCACCAAAAAAATTGGGCTTCTTAGATGTGACAGAACTTGTTGGCGCCCTTAGTGACATTCTCCATGTTGAGATCAGGGAAGGAGAACAGGACTTACTGGTATTTGATGTTGATATGAAGCCTACACCATCCGGTGGGTTGAGTCACAGTATCATGCAAACCTGATTTGTAATTGTCCTGTATGGACAGTGGGGGATAAAAAGGATTGATTATATAATTTCGTTTGTTGTGATCACATCAACCAAACAGATCACATAGCTTTGAAAATGTTTTTCTTTCTGGTGATACTTGTAATAAGGCCAACCTGTATTATAAATAAAGACTATCTGAATTTTTAGTATTTATTTTCTTTATTGTCCAGAGTTTTGGATGATTCTGAAGAAATCAGTTTTCTGAAATGGTGATCTGATGGGGAAATACTAAATAGTTCAGTGGTTCTTAATTCTGGTTGTGCATCAAAAGCTTTTTAGAAATGCACAGAGATTTGGAATGAATGGGCATGCATTGGAATCCAGCATTTGTATTTTTCTTAAATAAACTTTTTATTTGGGGATAATTTAGGTTTACCGAAAAGCTGCAAAGATAATACAGAGTCCCCATATGCCCTTCATTCAGTTTCCCCTAATATTAGCATCTTATGTTACCATGATACACTTATCAAAACTAAGAAGTTAACATTGGTACATTACTATTAACTACAGATTTTATTTTGATTTTATCAGTTTTCTCACAGTTGTTCTCCTGTTTCTGAATCTACTCCTAAGATACCATATTGCAATCAAGGCACTTCATTTTTGTTTTTGTTTTTGTTTTCTTTTTGGCTTTGTTTTTTTTTTCTTTTGAAATTTTTATTGACATTATTGTAGATTCTCATGCAATTATTAAGAACTAATTAGAGAGAGATCCCATGTACTTGTTACTCTTCCCTCAATGGTAATGCCTTGCCACACTATATAGTACAATATAGTACTTGTATTTTTATAAGCTTCTACAAGTGGTTGTGACACCTATTTTTTTCCAAAATGTAATGCATCTTTGTTGGTTTTCTGATTATTAATATAACTCATGTTCACTCTAAAAAATTCACATAGCGCAGATGAGTAGAAAGTGAGCATTTCTCATCATTTTACTCCCCAAACAGTGCTGTTAGAATTTTTATGTAGCCTTCTAGACTTTTTTCAATGTATATGTAAACATAGCTAGATTTTTTTTAAATGATCAAAGGAGTATTAGCCTTTTTAAACAATTACAACAATGCAGAGGTGGTAACTAGTGATAATAGTTTTAATGGGTCTTTTTCTGGACTTTTGTATAATATGGTTATTTATTATATTTATAATTTTCTTCCACAACATAGTAGTATGTAAATACAGTATAAGTCCTTGCTTTTTATACTTCATATATTATGGATGTTTTTCTGTATCAGAATATAAAGTTTATTTAATCCCTTTTAACTATGTGTAATTGTTCTATGTGAGCATATTATAATTTAACCAGTCTGCTTTTGATGGACATGTAGAGTGTATCCATTTTTTTATCACTATAAAAAATATAGTGATACTCTTGTATCTGCATCTTTGTGCACTTATTTTTCTTTAGGAGCCACTGTGGTTTTATGTCTACCTGGGGTCTGCTTCAATGTGCTCGCCTCTTTATAAACATGTAAATTTGGATAAAATATATGATTCATTTGGAAATTCCCTAAAATTAAGGCATTGTATTATAGAATGTAAAGTAATCACATATACATATATTAAGCAACAATTAATGTTCATTGCTAAAGTTGAACAAGAAATAAATTAAAATCAGGATGTTGAAAAATAAAAATCTTTGACCAAAGTTTAAGAAACCATACCAGACTTATCCTTCCTGCCAACATAAATAATTTAAGATTGGTTCCCATCTTGAATTTCCCTTATATCTCTCGATACTGAAAGGTCTACAAAGAAAGGTTCATATCTCTCATTTATCATCATTTGCTCAGTGACTGGCACATAGAATATGCTTAGTAGCAATAACACAAATTATTTTTATAGCTATACAATGACTCTATTGGTCATTTCAGATGGAGCTGTTTCATCAGTCAGAAATTCATGCTTAATTCAATCAGATAAAGACATAGAAGACAAAGCTTGTGTCTCCAGTCCCCCTAGAAATTCACTGTCTGCAGCTGCCGTAGAGGAGACCACATGGGATTGCCCTTTGAAAAACCATGAAGAGCCAGAGCAGAAGATTTTCAAGAAGCCTAATTTGGTGGTAAAGCCTTTACAGTTGGTGAGTAAGATTTAAAGACTTTTCGCACTGGAGATTCAGTATTATGGAAAGCAACAGAATGAATGTTTCTTTAAACCAAAATTCTGTTTTAGAACAGCATTATTTCTAAATATATGATTTCCTGGAAGAGACCAGAGGTTTGTTTTGAAGTCACCTTATGCATCATTTATTCTGGTTTTCAATCTTTCATGTAACTAGGTTTTCCCGTAAGTCTGATTTTAAAGTTTCAGATGGCTTTGAAGATTTGACAGTTCTCTCAAAATGACATTGCTGATTGTCTGCCCAGGTTTTTCAAAATGTAGGTTTGAAAACCCTTGAGGTCTTTAGAGGGAAGCATTGAGAAGCTTTGTTTTAGCTGTGTGCTCAGCAGCAGCTGCAAATTGCCCCTGCACCCATCTTTAATTGTAGGATGCTTTTTCCCCCCTTCATCACATCCCTATGCACAATTCTCCGTTTTTGTGTTTTCATTTCCTATTAGTCATTTTGTTGTTGTCAAGGAATTAACCGCTTACTCTTCTTCCCTTCTGTTCTCTGTAGGTGGTTCTTTCATGGAAGAAAACATGTTTGGAGAACCTGCTATATTTTATGGAGGACACTAGGAAAGACTAAAGGAAAATAATATTTTTTAAAATTAGGATGTTTGAAAAATTCTGTTTTGATTGGAAGACTAGTCTGAAATTTAATCCACTCTTCATAAAGTTCCCTTTGATGATGGGGTTGAGTAGGATGAGTATCTTAGTTCATCCTGAATATTTGAAGTACCATGTTTTCAATTTTGTATAAGGAAGTTGTATAATATGCCATACTTAAAGCTCTTTGTCTAATTTCATAAGGCAGTAGTTTTCATATTTAATGTAGGTAAGGATCACCTAGGAAATTTTTTGAATTGTGGGCCCCTCTTACAGATATTCTGAATGTCTGGGCTAAAGCCTAAAAATTTTTATTTTTATAATTTGTCAGTTGATTCTGATAGAGGTGACTTATGAAATATACTTTGAGAAATGTTGTCATAGAGTTTGAAATGTCACCCAAAGATTTATAGTGATTTCTTTAATTTCTTTTTTAACTTGTAGCAAGTAGAAATTAACAAATCACAGCACAATCTGGCAATGGCAAATCATGATATCGCACCAGATGCTGTATGGGACAAGAAATTATTCAGACTGCCACCATTAGATACCAGTACCCTCGTGGGGGTCTTTGTGGAGTATATCATCTCTCCCAGTCAATTCTACATCCGAATCTATAGCAGGGATTCATCAGAGTTACTTGAAGACATGATGATTGAAATGCGGTAGGAGTCTGTTGTTTTCAATGTATTTTTTTCATGTATCATCCTAAACCAGTAGTTCTCAAACATTTTGGTCTCAGAGCTCTTAAAAAATAAGAACCCAAAGGAGCTTTTGTTTAAATTTATCATCTAAAAATTGAAACTAACATTTACAAGTATTTTTTGTTTAAAAATAATGATTAATTCATTTGTATGAGTATAAATAACGTACTTATGAAAAATATTTTCTGGAAATCAGAGTGGCATTGTCTTACATTTTTGCAAATATCCTCAATATGTGTCTTAAAAGAAGATAGTTGGATTTTAATATCTGCTTCTCTCTTTAATCTCTTGAGATATGTATTTTTGGTTGAAGTGTTTGATAAGTGTCTGGCCTCACACAACTACATAGTTGGGAAAAGGAGTATTTTAATACCCTTTTCAGAAAACTGAATATTCTTTGGTAGTATACTAACGTGTGAAAAGTGGTAGTTTCTTAAAGACTAGTTGCAATGTGGAATTTCAACTTTTCATACTCTACTGTGTTCAGGTCCGTTGGTCTGCCTTTGTACTTTGAATGGATCCAGGACCAGTTGTGCAATTGCAGGCTCCAAGGCAAAATTAAAATGCAAGTCTCCTTGTCTGGAAATTACTAAGAATTTCAAGATGAGCAATAGCAGAACATTTAAGCAACAATAGGACCCTTGTTAGTGTGGACTCAGGGAAACTGGCCCTGAATGGATCATTTATCCCCATCTATGATTTTAAAACATCATTCATTGGTCCTTGGGAAAATACTGGTTCACTGAGTTATGTAGACCTGTCAAATAGTGACACATTTCATCATACAATATTCAAAAAATAACATTACCACTGATCTCATCGGAAAAACATTAAGTATTAGGAAGCTATGAAGTTCATGGTGTCGGATGCAACATTTCAAAATCCTAATTTTCACTTGAAAACTTAAAGAATTTTATCCTTGACAACAAATACTGTCAAGGTTTTCCTTGAAGTGATAGGCTCACTTCATTTTTGAGAAAATGTGTGTCAGATACCCAAATCTGAATAAACATAGTTTGTTAGTGGTGCTTTGGAGCAGAAATAGCATTCCATGAAAACAGTGTCTAGTTCATCTTTCAAGTAAAAATAATGTTCCACCAAAAACAAAAACAGCAAGTTCAGTACACAACTCAAATGTGCAAGTGCTTTTCCTTAAGACAACTTGGGAAGTGTTTGACGTGTACTTCCATTTTTGTTGAAGAGAATATTGAAAAGGTGGTCACTCACTGGTTGAGATTTAATAAACTTAGTAGTTTTATTGCTTTATCAAGGACATTCTTAAGTGAAATTTGCCTCTTTTTTTCTTTCTTTCTTTACATGAATGTATGGCAGGGACAAATAAATGACCACTAATAAAGAAAGTTTGGTGCCTCTGCCTTGGTTTAGCTAATGCACCTGGAGTTTTACCCGCCCTCCTACAACATCAGTGTGGATGTTAACCCAATGAAAAGGCAAATGACTGTTTTTATAACAACACTACAGTATTAAAATCGCTTTGATCTCATGGACCCTCTGAAAATATATTAATGTCCCCAGGGTTTGTGAACTACACTTGGAGAGCTACAGCTCTAAATTATCTTTCCTCTACTGAAAAATGTTGTCCTTTGTTAGTAAACACCATGTAAAATATGTACCTTTCCAGTCACTTCAGATTTATTCATGATCAACGATGTCTGATTTTTACATTGATGTCACATATAAGAATAATTTATTTTGTATCTCTCCAAAAGTAGTCCATTTTTTTTTCTACTTTTACCACATCATATATTCTTCTCTCACCCAAGAACTCCTGGCATAACATAAGTCACATAATAATCACTTAGTAAAAATATTGTCATATATTTCATTCCAGTATGCTGAAGATTTAGTTCATGGTTTAAAGTGCATTCTCTGCCTTTGTGACCTTGAAGTTACTTTACTTATCTGGGCCTAGTTTTTTCATTTCCAAAGTGGGGATAATCATAATACCTACCTCTCATGGAGTTGTGAAGATTAAAGTACTTAGAATGCTCAAATGCTGGCTGCTCAAATATGCTAGTACTATAGCTGATGTGTGCTTAGTGTTCAGATGTTGAGTCACTGGCAGTACAAGGAGAAGACAGGCATGGCCTTTGCCTTTGTGAACACATGATTAGCTAGGAAGATAGGTAGGGGTATGTCAGGTATTGTGCAAGGAAGTGGTTATGCCTGGATGAGGTCGGGGAAAGCTTCACAAAGCAGATGCTTGAGCTGGGTGTCAAAGGCAAGCAAGAATATATCAGTCAAGGAGATGTGAGTGGGTATATGCAGGTTCAGTCACTGGCACCAAGGCCAGCTAACAAATGAGGGAGCAGGGCAACAGATAGGGATGTGGAGTCACCACCACAGGGACAGTAACTGGATGTGAAATACCATCAACATGATGGGAAGGAATTTTGACTTATTCTGTAGATAGGAAGCCTCTGAAGGCTTTAAGAAAGGAAGACCATTGACAGGTTTGGGTTTTAGGGTAACTCTAGTTGCAGTGTGGAAGATAGATGGAGTGAAGGGGGAAGCTCTGTTAATAGGCTGGTCTTGGTGAGAGAGTGCAAAGGAAGAGATAAATTGGAAAGTAAGAAAGTAAAATCATCGGGTCTTGGTGACAGTGGGGCTGAGAAGGATAAAAGAATATGAGAACTGTGGCTTTAGAGATTGGGTAGGTTTGAACTGGGGTTACACGTTACAGATCTGCCCATAAGTACGTGAAAGGTGACTGTGGAGGGTGAATTTGGCAATGTTGTATGGACAATATTAGTTAAGATTTGGTTTAGCCACTGTTGCAAAGATATAAGTAGCATAAAGAAGATGAAAGTTTCTTTCTTCTTTCCATAATAGTCCATGGATAAGCAATAAAGCCTGAAAGGGTAGCTCCATGGTGTTAGGGTCACCAGTTTTCTGTCTTGCTGCCCAGACAGTATGTTCCCCTCCATCTGCTCCAGAGTGTAGCTCACCAGCACATCCACTGTGGAAAAAGGAGGAGGCTTGGAAGCATGTCCTTTCCACAGCTGAAATTCTCACACTTTATTTTTTCTTTTTTAAATTGTGGTGAAATACAGATAAATTTTACCATCTTACTTATGCACACTTTAATTTTTCTCAGAGCCTTTTGGCCAGAATCTAGTATTCACATAGCCACATCTAGATGCAAGGGAGCTTGGGAAATCTGAATGGCCATATACACAATTAAAATTTGGGATTCTATTTCTAGGGAAAAAGAGGAGGCTGGAAGTCGGGGACAACTAGCATCTTTTCCATACAGTTGGAAATGAAATTTTAAAGCTCAGAAGGGATGCAGGGTCTTAAGATAGAGATGGAGAATGATCAGTTTGTCAGTAGTGTATAACACATGAAAATGAATGTGAGATGGTTTACAGCAAGAATAATAATAAATAGTTAATATTTGATTGCTTATTGTATTTGGACTCTGTGTTAAGCATTCATATATTTTAGCTAAGTTTTTATTATCATCATCTGCAGTAAATGGAAGCACAGAAAGATAGTCACACAGCTAGTAAATGATGGAGTCAAGTTCTAGTTCCAAAGCCTGAGCTCCTGTTATTCCTAAAGATAAGACCCCAGAGAACCCAAAATTTTAAGGCAATTACAGAGCCAGTAAAGGAATAATTATTGACAGGGAAGAATAGGAGAAAATAGTGTCTTGGAAGCTAAGTAGGATAGAGTTTGAAAGAGGACAGGATCAGGGTTATGCCGCAGAGAGCAAGGATATTGAAAGTTGAGAGAAAAGCTTTTGGATTTGCAAATTAATAGGCCATTGATGTCTTAAAAATGTCCATTTTAGGAAATGCTGGGGAATGAAATTTGGTTACATTCTATTCAGTGTGTGTGAAATAAAATGAGTGTACAAGTTTCTATTTGAAGAAGTTTTTTGATGAAAAGAAGGAATTTAGAAAAAAAGGAAAATAAAATTAATTGGTATTAATAAATATTAACAAATCAGGAAAAGTGAGGATCTTTTCTTTGCTTTTTGCCAGTACTTTCCTGCTCTTGATACATCAATGTAAATGATCTTTATTTCTCCCTGTGGGTTTCCCTGTATTATGGAATTCTGCAGGCGCTGTTATTCTAATCAGCTGGTGTCTGACCGGTACACCATGCCAGAATATTTCATCCAGCCAGGGCATCTCTGTTGTGTACGGATTTCTGAGGATAAGTGGTGGTATCGGGTCATCATCCATCGAGTCCTTGGGAAACAGGAAGTTGAAGTGTTCTACCCAGACTTTGGAAATATTGGAACTGTTCCAAAGACTTCCCTCAGGTTCCTCAAGTGAGTTGACAGATTAAATAAGGACGACTTAAGTTTTGAATCATAATGTTGAAATTCTGTGGGATGGGGTTCTCTCTTCCCTTTCTCTTGCCTTCCTCTCTCCATCCTTCCCTCCTCCTTTCTTCTTAGTGGTCACTTAATTTCAGTTATAATCCTTGTGTCTTCTTCATTCACATGCTTATGAATCTGAATGGACTGTGAGACTAAATTTTCATCTGTTGTAAAGAAAATGATTCTATTAATTATGCTAAGAATTGTATTTATATAGCATGATGGTTTAACTTCCTATCTATATTTTAATTGCATGGTTTTCAAAGACTATTATGTTTTGCAATTTATTTCTTAGGCTGCCTTACAGAGTAAGGCATTCATTTGAAAATGCATGAATAGTTGGTGGCGGCCGCCGCGAGGCCAGGCGCAGCGGGGTCGGGTCCCCCAGCGCAGTTCCCCGTCTAGCCTTGAGGGGGCGCCGGCGCGGCCGATCAGGTGACCAAGCGCTTGTCCGGGGCTGGGGGAAGCGGCCTCTTCTCAGCCGCCAGAGACGCCGCCCCTAGCAGAGGAGCTCGGGAAGGCGGCGAGCGCTGGGGCTGGGGACGGAAGGGCGGCGGGAGGAAGGCAGCAGGCTGCTGCTGGGGAAGGGACCCCAAGGTGTCCGCCGCGGTTCGTCTGTCACCCGCGCGGATTGGGGCGCCAGGGCCATGGGCGCGCTCCCCTGAGGCAGAGGTCGTGGGCAGGAGGGTAGGAGGTCCACTAGAGGTTGCTGTGGAAGCCGCGGCCGTGACTGGGTGCGAGGTAGCCGGCGGCGGCACCCCTTTTCCCCCCTAACCCCCCACCATGTCGTGCTTGGTGCTGCAGCCCCGTCAGCAGAGGCTGGCGGAGAAGCTCACCATCCTCAGTGACCAGGGCATCGGCATGCTTACCAGCCTCTACAACAAGAAGGCATGTGGAGACCCCAAGGCAAAACCATTCTACCTTATTGACAAAAACCTGGAATCTGCTGTGAACTTCATAGTCAGAAAGTTTCCTGCTGTAGAAACCCACAACAACAAATCAACAGCTTGCACAACTTCAGAAAGAAAAATCCGAGATTCTGAAAAATTTGGCATTATACTACTTCACATTTGTAGATGTTATGGAATTTGAGGACCATGTTTGTGAATTGCTGAATACTTTTGATGTGTGCCAAGTCTTCTTTGATATTACCTTAAACTTCGATCATACAAAAATCTACTTAGATTTGACCATAACCTATACAACACTAACGATCCTCCTGTCTGGAATTGAAGAAAGGAAGGCAATCATTGGATTATATAACTATGCTCATGAAATGACCCATGGAGCAAGTGACGGAGAATACCCATGCCTTGGTCAGATGATCGTGGATTATGAAAACCCTTTAAAGGTGATGGGAGAATTTGTACCCCACAGCAAGTCTCTTTCAGATGCACTAATTTCTCTTCAGTTTGTGTGTCCTCAAAGGAATCCTTCAGCTGACCAGTGGAGAAACACCCAATTACTGAGTCTCATCAGTGCACCCAGTGCAATGCTCAATCCTGCACAGTCTGACACTATGCCTTGTGAATACCTCTCTTTGGATGCAATGGAAAATGGATTATTTTTGGTTTTATTTTGTGTCATGGGATCCTAAATACTGATGCGACAGCACTGAATCTTTGGAAGCTAGCTCTTCAAAGTAGCTCTTGCCTCTCACTCTTTCAAGATGAAGTTTTCCACATTCATAAAGCTGAAGAAGACTTGTTTGTAAACATAAGAGGCTATAATAAGCGCATTAATGACAAGAGAATGCAAAGAGGCAGCTGTGTCACATGCTCGTTCAATGCACAGAGAAAGACACAAGGTTTTAAGATCTGCACTGAAAGAGTTGGCTACTGTCCTTTCTGATCAACCTGGCTTGCTGGGTCCCGAGGCACTTTTTGTTTTTGTGGCATTATCCTTTGCCATGATGAAATTATCTGGCTACTTTGTCATGCAGATAACATGCCAAAGAAGAGTACAGATGACTTTATAGGTAAGCACATTGCTGAATTAATATTTTACATGGGAGAGCTTAGAGCACATATAAGAAAATATGGACCTGTAATGCAGAGGTATTATGTACAGTACCTTTATGGTTTTGATGCTGTTGTCCTCAATGAACTTGTACAGAATCTTTCTGTTTGTCCTGAGGATGAATCAATTACCATGTCCTCTTTTGTTAATAATGTGACTTCCCTAAATGTAAAACAAGTTGAAGACGGGGAAGTAGTTGATTTCCGAGGAATGTGATTAGATTGGTTTAGATTACAGGCATATATTAGTGTCTCCAAGGCTTCACTTAGCCTTGCAGATCACAGAGAACTTGGAAAGATGATGAATATGATAATTTTTCATATAAAAATGGTAGACTCCTTCGTAGAAATGTTGGTAGAAACATCAGATCTCTCCATATTTTGTTTTTATAGTCGTGCTTTTGAGAAGATCTTTCAGCAATGTTTGGAGTTACCCTCTCAGTCAAGATACTCAATTGCATTTCCATTGCTTTGCACTCATTTTATGAGTTGCACACATGAACTGTGTCCAGAAGAGCAACATCATATTGGAGAGTGTAGTCTTTCCTTATGTGATATGTTGCTGGATGAAATGACCAAAAAACTTTGAAATCTCATCACTTATGTTTGCACAGAACAGTGTACTCTTAGTGATCGGTTACTGCCCAAGCATTGTGCCCAAACCATTAGTCAAGCAGTAAATAAGAAGTCAAAAAACAGACTGGTAAGAAAGGGGAACCTGAAGGGGAAAATTCAGGAGTTGAGAGCATGAGGAAAAACAGACTGGTAGTGACCAACCTTGACAAATTGTACAGTGCATTTTCTGAGTTGTGTTTCTCTAGAAAGTTATGTACCAAACATTGTGGTTTGGGAACATACCTTTACTCCAAGAGAATATTTGACTTCTCATCTGGAAATCTGCTTGACTAAGTCAATTGTTGGAATGACTATGTGTAACCAAGCCACCAGGAAATTGCAAAACCATCAGAGCTTCTAACAAGTGTAAGACCTTACATGACTGTACTCCAGTCCAAAGAAAACTATGTGCAAATTGATATTACAAGAGTATATAATGATGTTCTTCTTCAACAGACACAACACTTGGACAGTCATGGAGAGCCAACTATTACAAGTCTGTACACAAATTGGTACTTGGAAACTTTAAGATAAGTCGGCAATGATCATATAGCTTATTTCCCTATGATGAAAGCATTTGTGACCTTACCTACAGAAAATGAATTAACATTCAATGCAGAGGAATATTCTGACATATCAGAAATGAGGTCATTATCAGAACTGCTAGGCCCATATGGTATGAAGTTCCTAAGTGAAAGCCTTACGTGGCATATTTCTTCACAATTTGCTGAACTTAAGAAACTTGTGATGGAGAATGTTGAAGTGCTCACACAAATGAGGACCAGCTTTGACAAACCAGACCAGATGGCTGCACTCTTTAAAAGTTATCATCTGTTGACAGTGTCTTGAAGAGGATGATAATACTTGGTGTAATTTTATCCTTCTAATCATTGGCACAAGAAGCGCTTAGAGATGTCTTATCCTACCACATTCTTTTTCTTGTAAGTTCAATTGAAGATTTTCCAAGGGAAACTGATATGAAGATTGCAATGAATGTATATGAATTATCATCAGCTTCTGGATTACCTTGTGAGATTGATCCTGCCTTGGTGGTAGCTCTCTCCTCACAGAAATCAGAAAACATAGTAAGTCCAGAAGAAGAATATAAAATTGCCTGCCTCTTCATGGTCTTTGTGGCAGTTTCTTTGCCAACAGTGGCCAGTAATGTGATGTCTCAGTATAGCCCTGCTATAGAAGGGCACTGCAACAACATACATTGTTTGGCCAAAGCCATCAACCAGATCGCTGCAACTTTGTTTACAATCCACAAAGGAAGCATTGAAGACAGTCTTAAAGAATTTCTGGCACTTGCATCCTCCAGTCTACTGAAAATTGGCCAGGAGACAGATAAAACAACAAGAAATAGAAAACCTGTTTACTTACTGCTAGATGTGATTGTGCAGGAATCCCCGTTTCTGACAGTAAATCTTTTGGAATATTGTTTTCGTTACATCTTGCTGAGAAATACTTTCTGCATAAAGTATCTCATTATTGAAGACAAACATGCATTTTTGTCACCTAGGTTTTATCTGTAAACTGTGGATCTCTTTTACCTTAAGGGCCTGAAAAACAGTTTTGTGGATTATAAATTTCATACTGTTTTATTTTCTGATCATTGGTTTCATAATATGGTTGTATTACAGTACTTGATTGATTTAGGTTGCACATTCACTGAATTCACTGAAATTATTCCTATAATTTTAGAGAATCATTTGTTTGGAAAATATCTCTGTGTTTTTGATATTTGATAATGAAAATTTGCTTGTTTATTTCTAAAAAAACATAAAATGCATGAATAAAATACTCTGAGATGGTGTGACTAGCAAAAATCAAGAAGTGGATTAGAGATTCCATAAAATACAGTTTTAAAATATGATTAAATATTCATATATTTGATTATCCTTTGCAGGTGCTGCTACACAAAGCTTCCAGCTCAGTCTATCCCTTGTTCTTTGGCTTGGGTGAGACCAGTAGAGGTGTGTTTATTTTCCATTTAATCAGCAAATATTTGATGCCAAAAACAGTTCTAGGTTCTCAGGGTACAGAAATAAAACATGGAATGAACCTCCAAGGGAGTCACTGTGGCTAGTAAGGAGGATAGACATGTGGACAAAAATAATTATACTGTGTCATATTTGCTGTAGAGGTTTTTTGAAGGTATCATTGATATGCCATTTTATGAAGGTTTCACATGATCAACATTGTGGTTTCATCATTCACCAGTATTATCAAGTCCTCACCCCCTGTACTGCAGTCACTGTCCATCAGTGTAGTGAGATGCTATAGAGTCATGACTTGTCTTTTCCATGCTGTACTGCCTTCCCCACCAATATTGTAATTGCAGATTATAGTGTCCCTTAATCCCCTTCTTCCTCCCTCCCCACCCACCCTCACCAACCCCTTCCCTTTGATAACCACTAGTCCCTTCTTGGAGTCTGCGAGTCTGCTGCTGTTTTGTTCCTTCAGTTTTACTTTGCTTTTATACTCCACAAATGGGTGAAGTCATTTGGTACTTGTCTTTCTCTGCCTGGCTTATTTCACTGACTTATTGTCACCTAGGTTTTATCTATAAATTGTGGTGTCATTTTATCCTTCCAATCAGTGGCTTCATCCATGTTGTTGCAAATGGTAGGATTTGTTTTCTTCATATGGCTGAATAATATTCCATTGTGTATATATATACCACATCTTTATCCATTCATCTATTGATGGACACTTAGGCTGCTTCTATATCTTGGCTTTGTGGCAAATAATTTTATGAATATATTCTCCTATACTGTAGGGTCCCTTTTTTGTTCTATTGATGGTGTCCTTTCCTGTATAGAAGCTTTTTAGTTTGATGTAGTCCCCCTTGTTCATTTTTTGTTCCTTTCCTTGGGGACATGTGCCCAGGAAAAAGTTGTTCATGCTTATGTTCAAGAGATATTTGCCTATGTTTTTTAATAAGAGTTTGATGGTTTGATCTCTTACACTTAGATCTTTAATTCGTTTCAAGTTTACGTTTGTGTATGGAGTTGAACTATAATCCAGTTTCATTCTCTTGCATGCAGCTGTCCATTTCCCAACACCGGTTATTGAAGAGACTATCTTTTCTCCATCTCCATTGTATATTCATGGCTGCTTTATCATATTAATTGACCATATATATTTGAGTTTATATCTGGGTTCTGTTCTGTTCCATTGATCTCTGGGTCTGTTCTTGTGCCAGTACCATACTATTTTGATTGCTGTAGCTTTGTAGTATAGCTTGATATGCCATTAAGAGATAGTAATACACCCAGATTTGTTCTTTTTCAGGATTGCTTTAGCTGTTTGGGGGTCTTTTGTGGTTCCAAATGAATGTAAGGATTGTTTGCTTTAATTCATTGAAAAATGATACTGGTGTTTTGATAGGGATTGCATTAAATCTGTAAGTTGCTTTGGGTAGGATGGCTATTTTGACAGTAATAATTCTTCCTATCCATGAATATGGGATAGATTTCCATTTATTTGTGTCTTTAATTTCTTTCATGAGTTATCTTATAGTTTTCAGAGTACAGGTCTTCCACCTCCTTGTTTAGGTTTATTCCTAGGTATTTTATTCTTTTTGATATATTTTGCAACTTTGCTGAATCCAGTTATTAGTTTTAATAGTTTTTTGGTGGAGTCTTTAGGTTTTTTTTTTCTAGGAGTTTTTAGGATATATAGTATGATGTCATCTGCAAAAAGTGACAGTTTGCATTCTTTCTTACCGGTTTGAATGCCTTTTATCTCTTTATCTTGTCTGACTTCCATAGCTAGGACCTCCAGTACTATGCTGAATAAAAGTGGGGAGAGTGGGCATCTTTGTGTTGTTCCTGATCTTAAAGGAAAAGCTTTCAGCTTCTTGCTGTTTAGTATAATGTTGGCTGTGGGCTTGTCATATATGGCCTTTATTATGTTGAGATACTTGCCCTCTATACCCATTTTGTTGAGGGTTTTTATCATGAATGGATGTTGAATTTTGTCAGATGCTTTTTCAGCATCTGTTGAGATGATCATGTGGTTTTTATCCTTCGTTTTATTAATGTGGTGTATGATGTTGATTGATTTTTGAATATTGTGCATCCCTGAAATAAATCCCACTTGGTTATGATGGATGATCCTTTTGATGTATTTTTGAATTTGGTTTGCTGATATTTTATTGAGGATTTTAGCATCTATGTTCTTTGGGGATATTGGTCTATTAATTTCTTTTTTTGTGGTGTCTTTGCCTGGTTTTGATATTAGAGTGATGCTGGCCTCATAGAATGAGTTTGGAAATATTCCCTCCTTTTCTAGTTTATGGAATACTTTGAGAAGGATGGGTATTAGCTCTTCTTTAAATGTTTGGTACAATTTAGCTGTGAAGCCATCTGGACCTTGATGTTTGTTTGGGAGGTTTTTGATTGCCAGTTCAATTTTGCTACTGGTAATTGGTCTATTCAGATTTTCTGTTTTTTTCCTGGGCCAGTCGTAGAAAGCTGTACTTTTCTAGGAATTCTTACATTTCTTCTAGGTTGTCCAGTTTATTGGCATATAATTTTTCATAGAATTCTCTAATAATTCTTTGTATGTCTGTAGTATCAGTTGTAACTATTCCTTCTTTATTTCTGATTTTATTTGTGTTCTCTCTCTTTTTTTCTTAAGTCTGGCTAGTGGTTTGTCAATTTTGTTCATCTTAAAGAACCAGCTCTTGGTTTCATTGATTTTTTTTCTATTGTTTCATTCTTCTCTATTTTATTTTTTTCTCCTCTGATCTTTATTATGCCCCATCTACTAACTCTGGGTTTTATTTGTTTTTTCTTTTCTAGTTTCTTCAGTTGTGAGTTTAGACCATTTATTTGGGATTGTTCTTGTTTCTTGAGGTAGGCCTGTATTGCTATATACTTCCGTCTTATAACTGCTTTTATGGCGTCCCACATATTTTGAACTGTTGTATGTTTGTTTTCATTTGCCTCCATGTAGTGCTTGATTTCTTCTTTGATTTGTTCATTGCTCCATTGATTATTTAGAAGCATGTTGTTTAGCCAATATGTGTTTGTGGGTGTTTGTTTTCTTTGTGTAATTTATTTCTAGTTTCATACCATAGTGATCTGAAAAGATGCTTGATACAATTTCAGTATTTTTGAATTTATTGGGGCTCTTTTTGTGGCCTAATATGTGATCTATTCTGGAGAACATTCCATGTGCACTTGAGAAAAATGTGTACCCTACTACTTTTAGGTGGAATGTTCTGTATATATCTGTTAAGTCCTTCTGATCTAGTGCATTGTGCAGTGCCTCAGTTTCCTTATTTGTTTTATGACTGGTTGATCTGTCCACTGATGTAAGTGGTGTGTTAACATCCCCTAATATTATTGAGTTACAGTCTATTTCTCCCTTTAGTTCTATTCACATTTGTTTTACATATTTAGGTGCTACTATGTTGGGTGCTCGGATATTTGTAATGGTTATATCCTCTTCTTGGACTGACTCCTTTATCATTATGTAATGTTCTTCTTTGTCTCTTATTACTTTCTTTGTTTTGAAATTATTTTTTCTGATATAAGTACTGCTACTCCTGCCTTTTTCTCTGTATTATTTGTGAGAAATATCTTTTTGCATCTCTTCACTTTTAATCTATGTATGTCTTTAGGGTGAAATGAGTCTCTTGTAGGCAACATATAGATAGGTCTTGATAGGCTTTAGGTTCATGGTTACCATAAGGGTCATAGTTTCCTAAATATATGTATATATAACCGTTTATATTTGGTCACTCTATTTTGAACACAGTTTAAAACTACTTCTTTTTTTATTCTTCCTCCTCTAAACTTTGTGCATTGGATGTTATAATCTTCAATTTTTTGTGTGTATCTCTTGACTGATTTTGTGTATAGCTGATTTTACTTCTTTTATTTTTTTAAGTTTACACTTGCTTAGTAAGTAATTGGTCTGCTACCTTTACTATGGGTTTATTGTCACTAATGAAAAATATTTAGGCTTAAGAACATTTCCATCAATAGAAATCCCTTTAAGATATGTTGTAAGGTGGTTTAGTGGTGAATTCTTTTAACTTTCATTAATCTGGGAAACTTTGAATCTTTCTTTCAATTCTGAATATTAACCTTGCTTTGTAGAATATTCTTGGTTAAATGTCATTGTTTCAATACATTAAATATTTCATGCCAATGTATACTTTTTCTTACCTTTGTGCCTTATTTTGAAGACAGTTTTTAATTCCACTAAATAAATACTGTATTATTTTAGCGATTACTCTAGGAAATACAACATACTATGTGTAATACTACAGGGATATTAGAATACTTTTCTTGTTTTAACCTATTCTCCTGATCTGTTTTTGTTGTGTAATTAATATTACCTTTTTTAACCCCTCAATAAATTATATAAACTCACAATAATGTCCATTTAGATTTAGTTATGTATTCCTCAGTTTCTTAGCTCATCACTCACACCCTTTGTTTGGAAACATTTTTCTTCTATTGGAACTTGTTCCAGTAAACCCCCTCAAAATGAAAACTTTAGGTTTTCATTTTGAGGGGGTTTACTGATGTCAAGCTTAGTTATGTTTACCTGAAAATACTATTTTACAGTTACTCCTGAAAGGTATATTCACTAGGTAAAGAGTTGTGGGTTGACAGTTAATATCATTAGCTCATTGAAGATATAATGACTTGGATTCTGGTTTTCCTTGTCATATTTGAGAGGTTTGCTGTCAGTTTAATTGATCTTCCTTTGAAAGCATGTCCTAAAATTGTGTCCATAGCTTTTTTTAAAAATTTTATTTTGGTATCATTAATCTGCAATTACATGAGCAACATTATGATTAGTAGACCCCCCCCATCATCAAGTCCCCACCATCACATACCCCATTACAGTCACTGTCCATCAGCCTAGTAAGATGCTATAGAATCACTACTTGTCTTCTCTGTGTTGTACAGCCCTCCCCATGCCCCCCTACATTATGTCTGCTAATCAT